ACAGCTTAGTTTATTTGTAACCCTTTCTCTTTGATTTCATGCCTTGTCAACAACTTGTGGGGTTGCCTAAAACATAGTCTCTATTTTGTTTACACTTGGCCTGTTTCCTACTTACAGTAGTGGCACACTGCCAGTTTATAGAAGCTCTCAAAGTAAGGTTGCTTCACCTGCAATGTATCTCACATCTTAGCCAAATGCGTGTTATAATTTGCACCAGCACTCTTACACAATCTCCTCATTCTTCCTTTCTGCATACACAACAGTACTGACATGATGCCTGTCAAAAAAATCTCAAAAGCAAATGTTTGGTTTATTCAAAGAATGACTAATTTATGGAAAGAACAGCAACTTAATGACCTTCAAATTTGTTTAGGTGATTTTGGATTAGAACTTGAACTCTGGTTTGCCAACATTTTAAATGTAGCATTTTTATTTGGCATCTATAAAAATGTATAAGAAGCAATAAGTAAAATCATCTTAAACAGAACTGAAGTTAAGGTGCAAGCATCTGAAGCTACTTTGTGTGGGATTAGATTTGTTAGCTGATTTGAAAGCCTATGGCAGCAGATGCGGGTTGCAGCAAACAATGTGAACTGACGCATGGAGCATACAAATTGACTAAACAGTCAGAGTCAACTGATGCATGGTGAATTGCAAATGACATCCAGCAATGTATTTTACAGAGCAGTGAACATTTACTTGGCACAGGCTCCCTCTATCTGTCTCCTTTGGTTTTTCAGAGATGTACACAACTACAACTTGGTTATCTATTACATCAAATGTCAACATTTTGTCTGCTGGTTATTTATGCTGAAGTTTAGCAACTTTAGCAAATTGTCCCTGCTTCCTTAAATTAATGCACAGAAAAAGAGACATAATGTATTGCTTCCGTGTTTGCCAAATGTCCAAAAAGTAGTTTGTTCTAGAGTCGTCACATAGCAGCTGTAATTTAAATCTTACTTGACAGCCTTAAATAGATTAAGAATCAGTCCAACACACTAATTACATTTTACATTGATTAGATGTGAGGTAAGAGGTAAGATGTCTGATAGAATTTTAAATACACTAGCTAGCACCTGGGGACCATTATCCAAGAGTTAATATACTCATACATTATTTTTTTCAAAAATCTTAGAAGCAGGTAATGTCAAATTTATCCCCAAATACCCATGAAAGACTCAAAGGAATACTGATTTTGTCAGGCCTGCCAAGTAAGAAATACCTCAGACTCCACTGGCAGATAATATCAGTACTTTTCATAAATTGTAAAACCTTGAGCTCTGAATTCTTACTTTATTCATAGAGATGGAGTTGTTCCATATGTATTAATTGTGAATGTTTGTTTTTTTACCTTTTTTCAAATCTTTATTTTACTCTCTTTTATTTCCATATGAAATCATCCTAAACAAGGAATTTCCATGTGTTTGATGTGTGTACTTCTCGCTGTCTCCCTCCCACTTTTTGCATCTCATTGCCATATTAACAGGCTCTCTTCTCCAGTCTACCTATGTAGCAAGCTACTCCTAAGGGAAAGCATGGTGCTTCAGCACCTTGTGCTTTCTTAGTTAAAAATAGTGCTCCTCAGGAAATGAAAAAGGTTATCCAATTAAAAGTAATTGCCAGAGAAGTAGAACGAATACACTGTTGTTTCAGGAAAATAAATAAATAAAATAAATAATGACAGCAAGTAGCCCACAGCGTCTGTTACTGTATTATTCACCATGAGGTCCCCTCAAGCTCCCGGCCCTTCTATATGTCTCTTTTCTCATATTTTAGAATAAAAATCAACATCAAAGATTTATAACTTCATTTCTAGAAAGGCATGATAATGTGAAGCAGGACAGAATGATTCTGTCAGACTTTTAAAAGTGCACACTGCACATATATTTAATAACATTTAACAATATATATTTTAAATGGATATAAATATGTGAAATGCATACATATTTTCACGCCTGTATTAGTCCAGCTTTCTATCTCATTTACTTTTGTAACATAAAGTTTGTATTACCCATTGTTAACTAGTTGACTTAGTTTACTAAGTCTAATTTGCATTGCTAATTGATTATGTTAATTACCAACACTTAAGGTGCATTTCAGACTGAGTGCTGTGTTTTACACAAGGGTCTGCATTGGTTGGAGGGTGAGGGGTTGCAGGGCGATTGTTGAAGGCATGTAAAATATGGCCATATTGTGATGAGTCGACATCATCCACTTTCCTGGCCTGCATGTTTCTGTGGTGTTTTGGTTATTTTTGCACCAATTTCAACCACCAGTGTTTCTAACACCAGTACTGCTAGATAAAAACATTGTTTAATGTTCAATAGGTTAACTAAGGAAGACCCATGAGTTTGTAACTGTGACCAAAATTTGAGTGTGAATAGCAGTGAATGCTCATGCTAACGTGGTAAACAAATGAGTCCTCTTCCCATGGGAATGTACGTTTTGACCATCTCTTGTACACAAGATTGGTCAATGCCGCACCTTTGCCGGGATGATGTCAGTTGAACCAGATCCAACTTTTTCACTGCACAGGGCTGTGTCGTTTTGCTGGTGCCAGCTACAGTGAACAGAATCCCTCATAACAATGAATGGATAGGGCAGCATTTTTTCATATCTTTGAAAGTCAATCTAAAAGCAGCCAAACTCAGTCTGAACACGGCTTTATACTGTATTAGCCCACAAAGCACTAATGTTAATTGTTGGCACTAACTACTAATGCATATACAGCAGGCCTACACATATACCAGCCCGTATTAAACCAAAAACATCAGTGTTTGGTCCTGGCTGTCACTAAAACACATACTTTACTGTGTACTCAAGTGTATACTGTATTTTATTATCACAACATTCCCTTTTGGTACCGTTACCAGTGCAAAAGACATAAGCATATTTGTTGGCTGTAATTTCTGTGTTAACCAAAAGCAGAGACCAGTAAAAGTTCTAAATGTGTGCCTATCAAATGGGTAGCATAGCTTGGTGGTTAACACCACTGACTTTGGTATGCCAGATTGGGATTCAAGCTCTGTGTGCTTGTCTGTGGGACTGCAATGACCGTCAGCTCTTTCCAGCACTTCAGTTTTCCTCAACCTTCAGCCTTTTATGGAAACCCAGAGTGTTCAATAATAATAATAATATAATAATAAACAAAAACATTGAAATTAATAAACATATAAATAAATTGTGTAAAATAAACACACTTGCACAGCCGCATTTGTGAAATAATTCAAGAAATATTAAAACTTAAATCATAATTTCGAAATGGTATTTCATCATTCTTAATAGAGTTTTTAGGGGTTATTTTTTATTGTGATTATGGGCATTATAATTTCAAAGTGCTATTTTGCAAAAGTCTGTTTTCATAATGCCTTTTTATGTCCCGTTCCTATGGTAGCCTAGATGGTGGGCACATTATGTTCATGCTGCTGTGACTCTGCAATAGACATGCTCTTGAATACAGTAAGTCTAGAACAATTCAAAGCAGGTAGGAAAGTAATACAGATAGAATGCAACAAATTGCAGTACAACTCACGTTACCAGTAGGAATTCTGACTGACCTACACTGACCTACACTGACCAGGCATAACATTATGACCACTGACAGGTGAAATGAATAACACTGATGATCTCGTTACAGCCACCGATCTGTGTGGGGTATATTAGGCAGCTAGCCAACATTGTCTAAGGAAGGACAAATGGTGAACCGGCGACAAGGTCATGGACGCCCATGGCTCACTGATGACGACGTTGACCTACTGTAGATCTTTTGCAATTAAATTTTAATGTGTGTGCTGCGTGTATGCAGATGCTTAGCTGTACTGATGGCCACACGAGGCTCCATGAAGCTTTGAACCCTTTTAGGCCATTGTATTGAAAATTGGTTCACTACTGGAAGCTTCATTCATTGAGCACATAGGTGACACCTACAACAGTGGTTGTTGTACAGCCTTGCAAAGGTGATGCTGAGGCACCTTGCGTGTGCACAGAGTTTTGTTGCATTGTGGAAATTACTTAAAGCTAAAACCTAACTTCATTTTACATGTCTGTTTTTCTTCCTTGACTTATGAAGTATCTTAAATGAAATATTGACTACCTAAGTAATCTTTTTTTCCCCAAGAATGCCTAAAAATTTGAAATGAATTTGTAATTACTGACCCCAAATTACACACTGGACAGAGCAAGTATTTAGAGGGTTCATTGAGGCTGTGGATGTAATTAATGTTATATAATATATGTTTTTTATTGTGCTTGGTGTACACTGGGTGTGCTTGTGTGACTTAGGCATTTTTATTCAAAAATAATAGTTTCTCCACAGTAGAAGGTTTTAGTTGATTTCTCTTTTTTGAGACAATGTTCCCACACTTGTAATCGTTTCCTTGATGGCTCCATAGCGAGGCAATCCAAAAAGTACTGACAGGAGGTAAGACATAGAGCGCTGTTCCATCCATGTTAAATACATTTGGATTGCGCCTGTTTTCAAAGCTCCGCCTATCGAACCAAGCTGGTCAGCTGATTCAGTCTGAATGAAGCAATGCACCTAAAGCTGGTTGCCAACCGTCATTAAAAACAGAAGAAGAATGAAGAAAAAGTAGAAGTCTGAATGAAGAAAAACGTAGAATGATGAAGTCTGAATGATGAAGCCGAAGCCTGAATGAAGCCGAAGAAGAAGAAGAAGAAGAAGAAGTCTGAATGAAGCCAAAACCTGAATGAAGCCGAAGAAGTCTGAATGAAGCCGAAGAAGAAGAAGTCTGAATGAAGCCAAAACCTGAATGAAGCTGAAGCCTGACTGAAGAAGAAGTCTGAATGAAGCCGAAGAAGAAGTCTGAATGCAGCCGAAGAAAGCCGAAGCCTGAATGAAGCCGAAGAAGAAGAAGAAGTCTGAATGAAGCCAAAACCTGAATGAAGCCGAAGAAGTCTGAATGAAGCCAAAGCCTGAATGAAGAAAAAGAAGTCTAAATGAAGCCGAAGAAGAAGAAGTCTGAATGAAGCCGAAGAAGAAGAAGAAGTCTGAATGAAGCCGAAGCCTGAATGAAGAAGAAGAAGTCTGAATGAAGCCTGAATGTGGTTCGAACGTCATCAGCCACGTGTTTTTTCCGATTTGAAGCAAGGTCCGGCACAGTGCTTCAGAAAAAAAAAATAAATAAACATCCCTTTTCGAGTTTGAACGATGCTTCGGTTCCTTGGTATCAGAGGGAACATCACTACTTAGCTGTTACTCAGAGGTAAAGCAGTTGCAGAATAAATGTATAATTTCGAGTTCATGTAGGCTACTTTATCTAGTCTTAGCGAGAATTTAATGTTAGCGTGTAACATTAGCAAAACTCTGCTAGCAAGAAGCCTCTCCAGCTGAAGGCGAGCCAGGCCTGTGCCCTCTAATTAGCTCCATGTATGGTTAGCCCTCCGATACGCTATTGTTTTGCTTTAGCATGCTAATTTTAACAACGAGAGTAATTGTTAAAACTTGCTTCTAGGAAACTTTGCCATGACCTAGCGGTAATTAGTCACCTATCCCTTGTTGGCTCTGTAGTTTGACTGCCAGCATTATGGGAATGGTGTTTAATCGAATATATCTGGACTAGATTAACATTAGCACTGTCTTACGCCCAACAAGTTCACTGAAGTTTACAGGACACTGGTCTTTGGTACAGATTTCTTTGTTGTAGTGGAGAAACCTTTTAGGTAAGTACGTGAGTATTGAGTTTTTGTGATATGTCTGTGTAAAATGGAGCCTCCATTTAGATTGAAGTCCAGACAAACGCCCCGAAAAGCCTGTTTTGTTTAAATCAAGATCACATTAAAAATATCAGCAGGTTTTATTGACAACAGAAGCAATGCCAGGATTTGATGATATCAAACTATCAGTAAGTAATTTCACTTGAAAGAATGGTGTCCTGTTAACAATGGATAGAATTTCATGTCTAAATCTAAAGGTCTTTCAGTATCCAGAAATGAAAACTAACTGGAGGATGACTTGTATAAAGCTGCAAGTAATGGAGTCTTGTAGTGTTTTTTTTTCCCACCACATGTGAAATTAATTCACTGCTCAGTGCCTATAACAGTTAGATATTGTGTAGAAAATACTAAACACGGTGTGTAATCTTCAAATGAACACTTCATTGTAAATTTATCACCTATATATATATATTTGTGACACACTTGTCTTATTTCCCTCCTGCTCTACATTCAAGGTGGCAGTGGTCAGATGGTCACCAACAATGGGAAACACATGCTTTACATTTTCCCTCTTCAAGAAGAAATTGAGACTACATCCCTTCTCTATCAAGCTGTGGAAGGGTAATTTCACCAACAGAAATAATGATGTAATTTCATACAAAGATTTCTACAAAATATTCTCCATCGTCAGAGATGCTCTGGACGGGCATTTTTTAGGATGCCGTGTATGGGGTTTATTGTAGTGTTGTATGAAGGACGCCTTTGTTCTTTGTGAGTAAAGGTAGTGGTGCAGTGAAAGGTATGTGAAACTAATCTGACAAAGTGGATTCACTAGTTTTTGTAGCACTTTTAATTACCATTACAGGCTTTCTCATCCATTGTTGGCTTCATACTAAATTTTGAATATAGACCTTATAGTGTGATCAGAAGCTACAGAGCTGCTAAAATTTTCCTGTATCATTTTGTCAAAGTAGAATTGTAATGAGACTGTAATAGTACGTGATAGTACTTTATTACTCATGTTCATATTTTGGCAAGATGCACAACAGTAGGACTAACCATACTTTGCATAGATATATACACAATATATATATAGTTCATTTCCCCCAGCTGTCTTGTTTGTGGCCACCACTATTATTTTATGAAAGGCAAGTAACTGTAAAACTTAATGTATTTGACACTTTTCATATATATATA